GCCAATGATAGTCGAACTAGTCAATCAATACCAGCCCTTTATGGTGCCACACGCACAAGATCCCACCTAGGACGAAACATCTTTAGATAGAACACACAAGCTTCGCCAGAGAGGGTCAGGGACATTGAGAGCACACTGACCAACTTCGAAACTTGAAAACATTTGAAGGATTTGAGTACAGGTAAGGTACAGTTGCGCCGGTCTAAGGCGTGCACTGTCTTCGCTCGCTCGGAAGCCGGGATCGTGGCTTCGAATCCCACGCAGGGCATGGATGTTTGTGTGCGTTTTTCTGAGTTTGTGTACAGGTAGACGCCTTGCGACGAGCTGATCACCCACCCAAGGAGTCCTACCGTATGTGTAAGATCGAGAAAAACCGAAGTGAACGGAGAAGTTCATGGAGGTAGGCCTAGGCCCACTGGGGCTGTAGTGCCAAGGGGGAAAAAAGGTAAAGTTGCCCCTGTGCTTTACTAAGTAAGTATAGATCCACATTTTCTTGACCTCTGCACTAGCTGGAAGTGAGTTGCCAGCTTCACGCCACAGCCGCTTTTCCCTCCGGGAATATCCGAAATAATCTACTACATAAACGTGCATTTTCGGTTACCTTTATTATCGAAACACCATATTCAGAAGTTATTTTTTAGAGCCTGAGCTCGGATAGCGCAGTCGGTATAGCGACTGGCTACGGGCTGGACGACCGAGAGGTCGGAGTTCGAGTCCCGGTGGGTCAAGAATTTTCTCTTCTCCATGTCGTCCAGACCGGCTCTGGGGCCCACCCACCCTCCTAAACAATATCTACTGGGGGCTCTTTATCCAGGAGTAAAACGGCCGGGGCGTGAAGCTGATCACTCGCCTGCAAATAGTGCCGAGGTCAAGAAAATGTGGGTCTATACATCCACTCCCCCGTACGTCTTCTTGGAGTACTGCTTAATTAGTTAAGCGCAGGGACAACTTTACATTTTAATTTGTTAAGAGCTACGATTTGAGTGGTATCACACTGCTGAAAGTAAAGGTATCCCTGTACCAGGCCGTGGAGGCCCATAGGGTTGTGAGATGTTAAGGTTCCCACATTTTCTAGACAATCGGCTCATATATGGCGGCAAGGTTGTCAGCCTTACGCGCCGGCCGCCCTTTACCCCCCTAAAATATTCCAAGAATATTCCTGGTACTCATTTCTGTTAGAAGCTGAATCGACCCCAGGGCCATAGTGCGGCTGGAAGGATTAGGTCAATTTAAAAAAATGCAATGACCTCATCGGGATTCGATCCCGCGACCTTCCGGCTTGTAGCATAGTGTCTCAACCGACTACGCTACCGCGTGCCCGCGAGTCCCTGTGGGGTCAACAATTTTCCTTTCTCCACGTCATCCAGACAGGCTCTGAGGTCCACCCAGCCTCCTATCCAATTGTACCTGGGGCTCTTTCCCCTGGTGTAAAGCGACTGGGGCGTGAAGCTTACCACTCACTTCCAGCTAGTGTCGAGGTCAAGAAAATGTGGATCTAAGAGTATAAATCCACTCCCACATGCGCCTTCATGGTGTAGCGCTTAATTAGTTAAGCACAAAGACAACTTTTGCTTCCTCCCACCCCCCTTGGCACTACAGCCCCAGTGAGCCCAGGCCTACCTCCATGAACTTCTCCGTTCACTTCGGTTTTTCCAGATCTTACATATTCGCTAGGACTCCTTGGGCGGGTGATCAGCTCGTCGCAAGGCCTCTACCTGTACACAAACACAGAAAAACGCACACGAACATCCATGCCCTGAGTGGGATTCGAACCCACGATCCCGGCTTCCGAGCGAGCGAAGACAGTGCATGTCTCAGACCGCTCGGCTACCGTGACTGGCCAACTTTACCTTTACGTTTCTTTTATCTGCCGAGTGTATGTGAAATCGAATCGAAAAGACTTTCCTTCATGACAATCGTGTTCGTTAAGTAACTGAGCCGATGTAAGTCGGGAATAAATGTCTGAAGAAGCGTAATTTTAACTTCCTGAACAGGTTCGTTATTCAAATACACGAACAGTAATTCGGAACCGAGCTACAAAGCAAGCAAGACTTAGTTTGACGAAGCGAGTTTGGAACCTTACCAAAACAGATGAATATAACCCACAAGTTACGGCGACTAACGTGGGGCTTGCGTGACTTTGGCAAAAGTGACGTTTGTACAGAATAAGAATTCCAGTTGTGTTTGTTAAATACGACAATAAGATAAAACCATAAGAACGTGCATAAAATCATGTCTTGAGCGCGGCCTAGCTGTTGTTTAAGCATCTTGCCAGCAAGTAAGGTACAGACGGACAAGAAAGTTGGGTATTCGAGATTGCAGGGGAGGTGATAATGTTCTCATGTTAAGGGGAAGCTGTGAGGGACAGGCATGATCTTGTGATCAGACAAGAGCTTGCCTCTCAGCGAAGAGCCAATTTTCATCCAGAAATACACAGATCTGAAGGGCCGTCCCTCGCGCACAAGCTTTTCATGCACCCTCGCTGCTTCAGCGTTGCTTCCCGCCCCACAGTCAACTTCCCCATTTGGCGTTGCCATAGCAACGCTCAGAGTAGACTCACAAACCCTGCTACTTTGCAGAAGTTTTGTGTTCGCCGCTTGGAATGAAGCAGTAAAATCAACTGTCGGCTACCCAAACTACCTCACAGTCCTTCCTCATGAGTTCAGAGAAAATTAAGTTCATGTAAAATTTGCTGTAAACCTAAAGTCCCAGAAAACGATACCGGCAACTTGATAAGAAATCGATAAGCTAACCTGAATATAAATATTATGTTTGTGGACATTGTCCAGCGTCCTGTCTCCTTCTGAACAAACCGTCCTGTTTATATTACAGCACACGTCTGGCTCTGTCTTCAGGTGAAACCTACTCAGTTTGGCCCAATCCCTACCTCCGGACCCAAACGTCTGTGACAATGGTACGTCAGTACAGAGATTATCGAGCTTCCTACCTTTGTCTAAAAGACAAGACGATGCATAATGTCCAGAAACACAATATTTGCCCTAATGCATCATCGTCACAAACTTTCAGATCTTAATCTGAATATCGTTTTGCTATTTTCACTCTCCGGGTTATTACTTTGGTACTTTGGCTAAAAATTTTTTTTTGTTTTTTAAATAATATACTTTCACGTTTTAGGGGCTGTGACGATTAGATGAGGGTATACATTGGATGATTGGTTATTTTACATTTAATCTTCATTGAAGTAACACATATGCTGGAAGAACTTGGAGACGGCAGGTAAAGTTACCACATTACCCGAATGTGGGCGTATACAGAGTCGAACGTTTGAAAAAAACATGTACCGTTCATATTTCCCATTCGGACACATCCCACCCGGACTATACACGTCATCTCATAACCTGGTTTATACATAACGATATATGACTTAGCACAGACCAGTCCATAAGGTTGCAGAAACCCCAAGAATTATCAATGGACTGCCCTCTTTTCGACTGTAACAGACACTTGACAGAGGAATATGCAGTTCTCGTTGAATTATAATTTGCACAGGGAAAACCGAGGTACCAGTATTTCTCTGGAGCCACTGAAGAAAACCATAATAATTTCAGTGAAGTTGGTTGGTCGGCATATTCCAGCCGAAAATTTTCCGAATAAGACACAATTAACGGCTATCGTCTTGCTTCTGCACGACGTTACAAAATCGCATTATGCATTCACTGCAGCCCTATTTGACCCCGTGATGAGGACTAAGCATGACACACAAGCAACCTGTACCGCATACCTCCTGTAGAGTTGGGTCTGAAGGAGCGCATGATACACAGTGCGCTTTGTCATCTGATAACTCACACTGTGTATAACTTCCTTGTTACTGAGCGCAGCTATGTGAAACTTTCACAGATCATACTAGAAAATTTGTGTGTTACCTTTGGCAACATTAAACTGGTCAAAAAATGGGGTCCTATAAATCGGATCTTCGAGTTCCGATGAGGTGGACTTTTTCGATGTACCTAATCCTTCCAGCTGCACTAGCGCCCTGGGGTCGACTCGGCCTCTAATTGAAATGAGTACCAGGAATATTCCTGGGAGCAAGGCGCGACTGGTGCGTAAGGCTGACAACCTCAGCGCCATCTGTGAGCCGACTGTCTAGAAAATGTGGGAGCCTCGACGTCTCACGGCTTGTTACAGGGACAACTTCATAAGACGGACCAGAAAGTTTACTCTTCTGGTGGCTCTTCTGTTTATGTTGCACTATCCGCCGTGACGTAAACATAGCGCCTCTGTTCGTACGGGAGAAGTTACACTGCATGTACATAAGAATGCTGCTGAGTCAGCCACTTCCGGAAGGTAGAATAGCGATTCGCTACGCTTTTGCGAGGAAGTACAGAGAGCTACTGGAAAGCAGTCACACAGTTCTCCGATGAAGCGAACTTCCACTTGGATTGTTACATTAACAAGCAAAGTGTCCGATTTGCGCCTCGGAGAACAGAACCCGAAGCTTTGCCGTTGCCAAGTTACTGCACCCAGAGAGTCACAGCATGGTGGGCATTATCCAGCGTCGCAATATTCAGTGGTACAGTCACTTGTGGTGTCTACTCCGTCTCCTTCCTCAGGGATTCCAGTGAATTCAGCCTGGTTTCAACCAAACGGTGTCAGACCTCACCAGCAGCACCGTACTTCGCTGTCTTCCTGAAGTTTTGAGAAGTGAATCTTGTCCAACCGGTATCCTGCGCTGTTTTGGGAAGGATTTTCATGACGGCTAATCTCGCCAGGCTTAAATCATTGAAGTCATTTTCTGTGACAGTACTTGAACGGTATATGTTTCAGAGAAGTCCGCACACAATTCCGGAAATTAGAACTGCTATCCTGTCAGAAACTGATACTGTTTTTATTTATACAAAATCTAACCAAGGCTCTGAACACGTTTGCATTAAGTTCATGATCTTCAGGAATATCACGTGGAACAAGTTCTGAGGCATTGTCACGTGTAAGGGGGTACGTGACAAATAATTACGGATTACGGATTTGACGGAGCTGTTTTATTGAATAAGCTGTAACCACAAAGAATTATAACTCAACAAATTATTACTAAAACAATAACACATAAAGCAAAGAATTCCCATTTCAATTCTACTCTTCGTTTGTAGCCTCTGGGACTCTGCTGTTGGATTCTGTCAGTCCGTTATCTTCGCTACTCTTACAGTCTTCTCTTGAGCCGTGTAGAAGTCACAAGTCTCTCCACTGCTCAGCTGCTTTGAACGACGTCTTCCTGTCGAATCCTGTCGAACAGTCAGAGTCAGAGTCAGAGTCACGTTACCACTGACGGTCAGTCAGTCTGTCTGTCTTGGTGTCGAGCCCCAGCTGGGGCTCATGACCAGATATTTCTTTTGTATGAAAGTTACTGTCCTGTCCATGTGTAGCGCCCTCTCTGACGAGAGGTCGGGTCTGTCATTTGTTAGTCAGTCTGTAGTAATTTGTCCATTGTCTGTATTTACACATATTTGCAATACATACTTATATAAATGTACAATATTTACACGGCCTCCGTCAGTCCAGGCTAGGTACAGCAGATTATGCCCTTTTATATATATATAAATAAATATCCTAATAGTATTAGCTATCACGGCAGTCTAGTCACTTGAACGGTCGTATGCCTGACCGCCGCCAAGTTTAAGCCTCTTATACTTTCTGTGTCGGGCTTCGCCTTGTCCGATGTTGCGAACATTCTCATTATCATGATTTTGTATGACTTCTGCTTGTTGCCTGCATAATTTTGTTATGTAATCATAAACGTATGGAATTTTGAATGCCATGTGCAAATCGCGGACCGGTGTGCGCCTTGGAAAATTGCCAATCGTGCGGAGAACCTTGTTTTGCAGGCGCTGCAATTTCACTAGATGAGTGTCTGCCGCGAACTCCCAGGCGGGACTAGCATAAGTCATTACGGATCTAATAAGAGCTTTATGGAGGGTCAGTTTAATGTTGGCGCTCAATCGCTCACTTTTGAATAGGGAGTACACTCTAATGAATGTTCTGAAGGCCTTGGCTTCGATCATTTCTATGTGTAATCTCCAAGTCACTCTCTTATCGAAGATTACACCTAGATATTTTGCACTATTTACAAATGGAATATTTCTTCCATTTAGAGTAAGACAAGACTCAGGCGGTCGACGACCACGGGAGAAGTAGACCCCCCGAGTCTTATCTTCATTAATTTTTATATTCCAGCGCTCACACCAGGTCTCCATTGAGCTGAGACCGCGCTGGAGTTTTCTAACAATAAAACCCTCTTTGCGATCTGTCGCATACAGACAGGTGTCGTCTGCAAAGAGGGCCAGGTGAACGCCCTGTGTATGGGGGGCATCATTTATATACAAATTAAAGAGAGTAGGGGAAAGGACAGAACCTTGTGGCACCCCTGCTTGTATTTCCCTTGGCGTTGACATTTCGCCTTCAACAGAGACCCTGAATTTACGTTTAGAGAGAAAGGACCCAATAAGCTTGGTCAAAGAGTTGGGGAATTCCAATTTTGATAATTTAAACAGCAAGCCTGAGTGCCACGTGGTATCAAAGGCTTTTTCGATGTCCAAGAACACTGCAGCCGTAGACATTTTATTGTTGAAATTAAGGGTCACGTGGTCCGCCAGCCTCATACATTGCAATGTCGTGCTGTGACGTGCACGAAAACCAAACTGACTTGCGTTGAGCAGGCCTCTTTCTTCAATATGTTTACGGAGGAACTTTAAAATTACTTTTCCGAATAGTTTTCCTGTCGTGGACAGGAGGCTGATCGGACGTAAATTTTGAGGAAATTTCGGGTCTTTACCTGGTTTAGGTAAAGTTATTATTTTTGCTTCCTTCCAAGTATTTGGAAAGTGAGAGAGCCGAAAACAGTGATTGAATAAGCGAGTTAGGTGGCCCAATGGTCGCCTTGGAAGGTGCCTGAGGCATTCATTTGGGATGCCGTCAATTCCACAGGCCTTTTTTAATTTCAGGGATTTTATTAATTTCTGAACGTCACATGGTCTGTCGAACAGTGTTCACTGCTCCCTGTATAGGCTCAACACGGACCATCCACAGAAAACACGTCGTTGCCCAGCAACGGATATCATGTATTGTCAGGTGTGTCGACCCCTACATTGCCTAGCAATGGACGCCCTACTGTTGCGCATTCGTTGCTGTCATATGTGTTTACCGGTCAGTTATCTAGCCTGTGTCCATCCACGTTACAGTATTAACAAGTTTCCCATGTGTGTAGAGTGATCCATGAAACGTTCACACAGTTGATTTCAATAACGAAGACGTTATACAAATTTTAAAGTGCTGGGCGATAAAAGAAGTGCAACATATATACACAACAATTTAGCTTGAGTGACGCCATTAAAGCAGCTCCATTTAAACGCGTTAAAAAAATGAAGAGTTAATAAATGAACACTGGAAATTAACCAGGGCGCATCAGGCTTTGTACTGTTGTCAGTTTCATCACAACCACTGCTTGAGAACGAAGCAATATCGTCACGTGCATTAGTGTCTACAGACGGGGTTTGCATTGGTGAATATAAACCCCTTCGTTCCTTCTGATTGTGTTGCCTGATTTGGCCTTGTAAAGGAAAAAAATTCTGCATGTTTAATTGCGTCACTGACTCTCGATTTCTTTAGTGTTCATTGTGTGCATGTTTTATTTTTACTGGCAATAAATCTTGTATTAATAATGCTTTTACAGCGACGAGGCCATGGCTTGAATAATAAATTATTCCAGCGTAGAATCCGCAGCGACTGTTTTCTAACCATATTTGAGGTTTGAAAACATTAAACACTTACTTTTCACTCTTTAATCACACTCAGTACAAACATTTAAACGTTTTCATTCCTGTTATTTACGAATATACGTTATTTGACTAAACTGCGTTATATAACTTGACCCGCAACAGTTCGCAAGCAGGACGAAGTAGAATAAACAGTTCCAACTTACACTGTAAAGTTCGCTTACAGGAGTGTGTGGTACGCAGGCAGGTACAGTGCTGTTCTGGGAGTCTGTTAAGGCGTTCTTTTTTAATTCGCTTAGTGGGGGGTGGAGTCCAACTGGGTCCACTCGGCACTGCGGCCACTGATTGGCCTATTGTACCTGCCCCGGGTGATTATGATGATGGAGAATTTGGTGGAATGAAGATTGGCAGGGGAAACCGAAGTACTCGGAGAAAACCTGCCCAGCGCCACTTTGTCCACCACAAATCCCACTTGACCAGACCCGGGATCGGGAAGCCAGCGACTAACCGCTTGAGCTATGGCGCGGCCCTGTTAAGGCATTGCTTTCTGTGTATCTTGAGCATAGTCTGTGATGAGGTAGAGTGGAATGTTTGTACCTCACAGAACAACGTGTCAGATCCTAAATTTGATTACAGGTTAGCAACTCCATTCTGCTTTTGTGGCGCTCTGCGCATTACTCACCGACATTGCTGTCCACGCGTACTGCTAGACGTGGCAACCAATTATCTGCTTTTTTCTTGCGGTATTACAGTTCAGTTGCGAGGCTGTCACTTCCGGTCGCTTCATTTCCGGCGAAGCTGTTTTCGAGAAACCAATGTTTACGGGTAATTAGAAAAGTATCAAAGAAACAAGACTATAAATCAAACTAATCTGATAGCTTCCATTTTAAAATATTTCTACAAACTGACAATCGAGTGATCCACTGTGGTCTCGAAATAGCTTCCACGCCATTCTCCCTGAGAAACAGATATCCACTGAAATGCGGGAAAGCAATATGAAAAGTAATTTGCAGTGGTCGAGTTATCCATTTTTATATCGATACCAGAATGTAAAATGTTCAAAAGCAGTGATTTTGAATTGAGCACAAGGCGAAGCAGGGACAGAAGGAAAGGGAGCGAAAGAGACACAAAGGAAGAAGGAAAACTTCACAGTTATGGGAACATTTGTATTCGCAAGACAAGCACAAGTAACAGAGCTGTTTGACTGTGTATAACAAAGCAACGGAAGCTGGGCTGGGTCTCTGATTTAACGAAATTGACAAAACACATAGAATTACAAACAGGCATATTATTTACTTTAGCTCGCTAATTCTAAAATACTACGTACGAAGAAATAATATGAAATATTTATCTCATGAACGGCTACAAAGACGTTTTCTAAAAATGCACGCTCTTAGGTTCTTACAGCGGTGATTATGATGGCACCTGTTTTAGGCTGGTTCCTTGCTTGACTTATTCATCGAATCTGAAGATGGAGGTGACATGTTCCCCCGCAGCGCTGACTGCCTTTCGATGGAATACACGGCGTTATGTCCCACAATATAGAACTCTTTTACCTAAACAAATGTTGTACATTCACTGAAGCTCTGTTAAAACGCACAAAATCAGTGGCCTTCATTACGTGTGGCCCGTGTTGTTCCGACGTCGCTGATTCATGAGAACGAGCGTCCGGCAGTAGTCCGCGCTGTTAGTATTTATTAAGCATGCATGTAGATCTTCATATAAATTGATAATCAATGTTTCCCAGTACGGGCAAATCTTTATTTTTTTATACAATTGCGTTGATACCCAAGACAACAAGCTTTACTAAAATTCGTCTGACAGATGACCCCACTCACAAGTACAAATAACAAAACTATCCCTGTAACAGACCGTGGAGATCCATAGGGTTTTGAGACGTCGAGGCTCCCACATTTTCTAGACAATAGGATCACAGATGATAAAGCCTTACGCGCCGGCCGCGCTTTACCCCTAGGAAGTTTCCTAGTAGTCATCTCTGTTCGAGGCTGAGTCGACCCCAGGGCCATCATACAGCTGGAAGGATTAGGTCAATTGAAAAATCCAGTGACCTCATGGGCAATTGAACTCCTAAATTTTGTATTAGGCATATTAAGCATAAACAGCGATAGGTATTAGCGTGGACACTTTTAGTAACCTAATTTCCTTTACGAACCCCACGCTCTCTGTAAACATTCCCCTTTCAACACTGGAACAAGTAGAAGGATCTTCCTGGAACTCAGTGTGTAGAGCACGCAACCGGAGGGGCATGACGTCCTTGCCAACTTCATGTTGGGCCCCACGCTCCACGTCTCAGATAATGAGGATGCTCTCACCGTTCTGAGTGCTTTCAGCAACAACCAACAACAAAAAAGATTGGCTCATTAACCAAATTATAACTAAAAGTATTACTATTGCAATTCCATGAAGATTCAACCGGAGGAGTTGTCATTTCCGGCCCTCTTGCAGCCGTTTCCACAGAAAACCCTTCCAGGGATCCACAGCCAAATATTATAGCTATTGCAGCTACGTGATAGCTTTGTGCTCGAAATTGTGCCGTATGAAGGATAAAGATTTAACTTAATTAACAGCTCAGAAAGGAGGGAATGAGATAAAGGTACGAAAGAAGAAAGATGTGAAAGATGTAATGCGAAATAAATAATATCTTATTGAACGACAACTCTTCTGTCACCATCACGCCTACTACTACTACTACTACTACTACTACTACTACTAATAATAATAATAATAATAACAACAATAACAACAACAACAACAACCATATATCTCTGGTGTCATGACATCTGAGTCTCAAAACAGAGCTGTTTTTGCGCCACTGCAAATGAAACACGTGGCAAGCACTGCTCAAATACGTGATGTACCAAGAGAAGTTTACATTGTGATTCTGAAATCGACCCTCGGTGAACCAGACTGTAACTGCTGCAGCCTGTCTCAATTCCGCCAAGAAGGAAGAAATGTACTTCCGTTTCTTGTGCGCGGCCAAGTGACGGGTCAGGAGTTAGGAGCTGGCTGGTTGAGCCGGCCACATTCCTCTGCTAAGGCCAACACATGAGTACGCGGCAATGTAAGAATGACAGGCAGGAAAAAGCAGTACTCGGAGAAATTCTTGTCCTAGTGACACTCTCTGCTCTACATACCCCAAATGGACTGATCTGGGGCCACTGCAGTAAAGATGCAGAGCCTGCCTGCTCACGAGAGAAAGAAACAAACTCAACTAAATGGTGCATTTCTCAAGGAGCACAGTGCAACAAACGCGTAAGAAATGGCACACTTTGCGTGCCATGTCTGCTCCCCTTAATACTGTGACATGGTGGCCGTTTCTAGGAAACGAATTGACAAACACTTTTCCGCCTGGACACAAACCATCTCTGGGTGTTAAACAAACGTGTCCATGGATACGGGAATGGAAGTTGTAGAATCTTGGAAAAGACCTACTAGCGGTGGAAGCAACAAGCGTGTCTATGGATACGAACAAGCAACAAACATTTTCCATGGACACCGCTACGCTATATAAGCGGCCGTGCAAATGAAAACGAAGTCATTCGTCATTTATTTGTATTTGAGAAGTCTTTCGTAAAGTAACTCTGAACCAAGTCAGTCACAGTAGAAGACAGACTCGAAGAGAGGACAGTTGTCGTTCAAGTCAGTCGTGAGTAAGACCAGAGTAAGTCAGATCAGAACTGAACTGACGACGTATTGTGAGTTGTTGTAAATTGATCTTGATTAAGAGTGACTGTAAAAGAACTCGTTATTATTGGTCACGGAGCCATAAACACGTGACAATAACATTTGAACCGATGGACGGATTTTCATGAAATGTGGTTACGATTATGTTAGTGTCTTTAAAATTTCTTATGAGTAACACCAACATGGCATGTTCTGTTTTCTGAGGTTTAAGCGAGGTTGTAAAATGCTGCTACTTGTAACTGATTTTTTAAAAAAATATGAAAATTTTGATGTCGTAATTTTGCAGAATGAAAACCAGAGCCTTGTTGACCACGCAGTGTTTATGCATACCTAGGTTTGGTTCGATGGCTAGAGCCTAACTGAGGAAGCAGTGGTGCTAGGAATTCTATAAAGCGTAAACTTATTACAAATTCTGTACCGAGCTTTCATTTACGTGATAGAAATAACAAATATGGTGATATAGATATACCTGTGTCCGGAATCTACACTAATGGAACTCATGCACGGAAATTGAGCACTAAATTGTGTTATTATAAAGCGATACTTCCTGATAGTCTCAGCATGTACAAAGAAGCATCTGAAGAAATAAATGATTCCCACAATTTCTCGTTATGTAAGCAAGTGATAGTATTGGCATATAGACTAAGTAGTCCTAACAGAGCCGAGTTAGACTGTGGCCTTCGTTTTTTCGGTTACACCCACAACTTCCATTTTGAATTTAATCACGTATCGAGTATCGAAGGATGTTATATCAGATGTTGGAGCCATACCGAATTTGGGATGGGAGAGGCTTGGACAGAGCCCAGAAATGATCTCGTGACCACATCTTCAATTCCGCAGGAGTAGTTGCCCCTCTCATGAACAGCGACTGGCGGATGTTCAAAACAATCACATATTTCCATAGAGTCGGAACAGCTTGCGTTAGGAGTTGTTCAAGGAGTTCACTTCTGTTCATATTTATCAGATACAATCCTACTTGTATGAGGTAGAGAAGGTTCGCGTAGCGGCGAGGCTCTGGGCTTCCATTCAGGAGGTCGTCATTCGAATCTTGATCGGGGCACCGGTTTTTGTGTCTTTCCTGAGTCCTTCTAGCGATTATACCTCGGTTAGACCATGGCCGTTTCCTCCCAAATCCTTATAAATTCTTTATTCTTGTATCACACTACCATTCGACGCTATGTAGTCTGTGATGCTGACATTGAAATGTGAACCAAGGAAAAATATAAATAGAACTTGGTCTGAGTCTTCTAACAATGTCTCGTACATGTCCACTTGCTTTCTTCTCTAATGCAACATAAAATTTTATTTTAAAGGTAATTACAGTCACATTTAAATGTCCTAAAATGTCATTAACATAACATTTCATTTCACTGTCGCGACATGTTTCGGCCATATAAGGCCATCCTCAGGCAACTCAGGCCTGTATCAGCCCATACAGTTGATTCACTGCGACTAGAAGCATCTAGAAGCATGAGAACAGTCACGAAACCTTGCGCAGAGTGAAGGCGGCATAGGACTGCGCATGTGCATTCTAGTCTGTAACATTAATACCGCAGAAAAAACAAAACATGCAGTTCTCCACGTGGCAAGTACTGTGACTGGCGAACGTGTGTCGCAAGAGTAACATTCTTAAGTTCTAATTTTCAGTGAATTTTTGTTCCATAGTTCGGTAGTCGAAGTGCGGAACAGTGACTGCGAACCGCTGGTAAGTGGTAATCCTTTCTAGCTCAGCTTATACATAGCGAGCGCTAAGTGTTGCTGTGACGTCACCCGTGCCTCTAGTTGCAGGCAGTCCAATGTACGTGAAAAACAACTTCCTAAGCAGGCCAGTGTCGGGTCAGAGATGGCGAAGTCCTTGATTTAAAGACGGAAGAAGATGTAGAGCTCTGCCTGCGTTGGCCTATTGCACACCTCAGGACACGGTGAGGCTCTACAGCCCTTTGTTGAACCTTGGCCGCTTTTTCAGTTTCTTAGTTCTGTACAGTCGGTAGAACTCCTTGGACCGGGGGGGGGGGAGCAGCCTGTCGCAAGGCCACTGCCTACACACAGAATAACACAGACACAGAATAAACGCACACAGACATCCATGCCTTGAGTGAGATTCGAACCCACGATCCCAGCGTTCGAGGTAGCGAAGGCAGTTCATGCCTGAGAGCGCGCGGTCACGGTGATCGGCCAGCGGCACCATACCTTACTAAATAAAAAGAAGAAATGCATTACAACATAACAGAAAGAGGCATGAAAAAATAAAAATATGAGCCGTTACATTTGCATATGTACTAGGCGAAGAGGAGACGAGAACCAGCTAATTGAAACACATCTTGCAAGAAATCTTTATTTGCGTAATCAAATGCCTTACGATCCCTTAATTAGCGTGTCTGAAGCTGAAGACTTACTTAACAGAAACACAAGCAATTACAGAGACCTGAACTGAATTCGTGTAACTAGCACTGTAGCTAACTAACTGATCAAGTTCATGGAGCTGAGCCCTTCTTGAGAAGTCGCCAATTGTGCAACTACTCAAGTAATTCCCAGCATTTTACGGAACCACAATATTTTTACCGTGTTCACAAAAGCCCTCCACTGGTCCCTAACCTGAGCGAGATCAATCCAGTCCACACCACCCAACACTGTATCTTCTAATAAAAAACTGCTATGGACATCCGAAACAAAACACATATCTTGCAATAATCCCATACGCCTTACTGTATATCTTTAAATGAAAATCCCTTATAATAGGTATTTAACGTAAAGGTGCACAACGGTATTACAGAGATGAAACACAGCAAATTGAAGCAGCAATGTAACTCTCTGCTCATAACACACAATTTCACGGGTTGATGCTGCAGTCAGGCGATACGCTGCCAAGCTTATTGTTTTCTCTGAACATGCTTAGTGCTGCGAGTGTCTTGCGTCATTAATATCCGTACTTCGTTCTCAGTCCACGGCAGTCACATTTCCGTTGAGAAGTTTAGCGTTCATATTAGAGTAAATTAAGGAGAGCCAACTCAATCTTATCTTCGCAGGTAACCTGATACAGATGCCCCTTATCTGACTCACTTTGCTTGATATAGGAGTGGGAGTGCCAGTCACGGTAGCCGAGCGGCCTAAGGCATGTACGGTCTCCGCTCGCTCGGAAGCCGGGATTGTGGGTTCGAATCCCACACGAGGCATGGAAGTTTTGTATGTGTATATGTTTGTGTTGTCATGTGTTTCAATAGAGGCCTACCATCTATAAAATGATCATGAAACTGGCAAGGGCTCAAGGGGGCTGTACAGCCAGTGAAAAAGAAAAAGCATGGAAACTCATTTACCAGCGAGGTTGGTATTAATATTGTCAAGATAGTCTTCCACAAGAAGTTTACACCTTTACACAGTTCTTCTTCCTAGGCTTCTGCATCAGCCAAAAGTATTGTGACTTATAGACCCATTGCTAGGCAACGACTCGGTAAACACATTCCAGCGGAAGCGTACGAGCGCCACAATAGGACGTCCACTGCTATGCAACGGATCAGTAAACAAGCCTTCTCAGCAACAGGGAGGCTGTATTTTCTGCGTGGTCTGTGCCGAAGGGCTATAAAGGGGCTAAGGATGTCGTCGACCGCGCTATGGCCCTGGCCGGCGTGTAAGGCTGACAAACTTGCAGGGATAGCCTTACCTTTTTTTTATCATATATGGTTAGGTCGTGCATGAAGTTACTTTTTAAGCTTCGATTTTGATCGTTTGCTGCATTATGCGGTAACAACATGAAACCAGGAATATACAGGGTTATTCAAAAGAATGAACCGATTTCATGATGCACTGCTTCAGTTCTCAAGCATCGTCATGAAATGAGTCAGTGACCATTTGAAAGAGGAGTTATCTAGGTTGTGAATGGCTGCCACAGGGGCGCTGAAGTCGCGTCGTTCTTCCGGCAACGTTCAGTTGTTCGTTTACCCTCGGAATGGCGAGTCCTCAGCAAAAGGCGTTCTGCGTTCTCGAGTTCGCGAAAACAAAATCGGTTGTCACGGTGCAGCGTGCTTTTCGAAGGCGATTCAGCATTAATCCGCCCTGTCCTAAGAACATTCGACGGTGGTTTCGACAGTTGCAAGAGAGTGGGTGTCTGTATAAAAGACAAAGTCCAGGACGACCACTAGTCTCGGAGGAACAAGTGGCGAGAATCCGTGCTGCGTTTGAGAGGAGCCCGCGGAAGTCAACAAATCGAGCTAGCCGTGAGCTTGCGATCCCTCAATTCACTGTCTGGCGTGTGCTAACAGTACGTCTACATTTGAAACCATAGAGACTGCAGCTCGTTCAGGCACTTACCAATGACGACAAAAGGAAGCGGATGGAATTTTGTGATTCGATGCTGGAGATGATGGAAGACGAAACCTTCATTTCACGTTTAATTTTTAGTGATGAAGCGACTTTTCACTTGAGCGGCACGGTCAATCGTCACAATGTGCGTATTTGGGGATCAGAGCACCCACATGAAACAGCTGAACACAAAAGAGATTCCCCTAAGGTGAACGTCTTCTGTGCTGTGTCTCAGGACAAGGTTTATGGTCCCTTTTTCTTTGAAGGAAACACCGTTACAGGACAAACCTATCTCGATATGCTCCAAAACTGGCTCTTCACTTCACTGCAAGCAGATTCGCACGACTTCATTTTTCAACAAGATGGAGCACCGCCCCATTGGCACCTGATGGTCCGAGCTTTTTTAAATGAAAAAGTGCCCCAGCGATGGATTGGTCGGAAGGGGGCCCAAGACCTTGCTCTTTGTGCTTGGCCTGCGAGATCCCCAGACCTCACCGTGTGTGATTTCTTCTTGTGTGGATATGTAAAAGATCACGTTTATGTTCCACCGCTACCCACTAACCTCGATGATCTTAAACATCGAATAACAACAGCGATTAACTCGGTGCTTCGTGATATGCTGATACGCGCCTGGGACGAATTCTCTTATCGCATTGATGTTGCCCTTGCTGCAGGTGGTGGCGACATTGAACACTTATAAGACAGGAAATAATAGTTGACTTTGAGTAGAATACTTGTGACTTGGCTGGAGTTTTGTATTACATTCCTTTAATAAAATATTGCGTAATAAAAACGGTTAATTCTTTTTGAATAATCCTGTATTTGTTCCAGTACAAGGAGACAGCTAAGCCAACGAGCCCGGCCTGACCGGTGCTCTGTGCGCGCGGCACGACGCGACTCTGTGAGAGAGTGGTCGCTTTTCGGGCGCCAGAGTCCTCGTGGCGAGGTGGCTGGCTGGCTGGCTGCATAGTTCCAGGCGTGGCGGTGTTGTGCGTAAAGGAAGTGGAGCAAGGTTGCGCGAGTGAGGTCGTGGGTGGGGTCATGGCAAAGTCAAGGTAGGTCATATCACTTTTCCAAGGTCAGAATTTAAGTCTAAGTATTCACTGTGGGAAGAATGGTGCTGTATGTGCTGGCATGTGTAATGTTAACACGTAATCAACATGATATCAGTAAAAGTAACACTCAGTACCTATGGCTTCCTACGTGTACGCGATTGAGACCTAGCTGGCACTCCTGTGTTGCATAAGCATCCATATTTACGTACTTGAAAATAGACCACTCAGCTCTTACCCAGACGTCTGCCAAGTGCTGCCTGCTCCCTTTCTCAGGACGGTATATTGAGCCACATTTTGTTGCACCCACCTTCCTGAACACAATACGAAGTTCATCCTAGCATATGCTACTGTTACGTTTCGGAGGAACGTGCTTCGTCCATCTTCAGGGTAGAGCTCTTACGCTTCTGTCTTAAGATGGACCTAGCATGGTGCTGTAGCGATAATGCTATATTATGTTCTCGGAAGGTGCTCAATTCGAATCTCGGCCAGGTCACCGGCTACCCTGGATGAAGCTTATCGTGGCTTTCCTCAGTCGATCGAGAAAATACTGGGATAATACATTCCAAATCATTCACAACCCTGTTTACCGGTGCCAGTTGCCATAGCATTCGACCTTATATAGTCTGCCATGCTTAGAGCGTTGTAAAACAAAGAACACTACATACGCGTGTTCCTCCAAACCGTTGGTTACGATATGCCTTGAGAATCTTAAATATCTCGAAAGTTATGTCTAGAGGGAGTGACTCGTTGTGCAGTGTTGTAGTTACGTCTGTATACCCAACTGCCTGTGTGTGGACTGCGCTCTTCTGGCTTCTGACGCCTTGTGATTGGTTGATGGTTACTGACCTGAAGATAGACGCACCAGATTCCTCCGAAACATGCGTATAATAGCAGACTACACGCTGTATTAACCCAGAAGACTGTAATGTGCACTTCGAGCACCGCGAGGACCTCTCTCTATATGTAGGTCGCCTGTGAACGTACAGCGTTTCGCGAGAACAGTAATTAGACGACACGTGGATCGTGAAGTAGTCACAGGCCATGCCGCAAAACGAGGTGCCCTTGTAACCGCACAAAGGCTTTGTGGTTTTGCGTACATTGAAGGGTAATTCTGAATGTGGCGGAATTTTTGTCGTCTCTTTGATCTGTATGTGGAGTGAAATGGAAACAGGACGAAGTGCTGCCACTGACCCGAGCGGATGACAGCTTAACTAGAGTCAGTTGCCGCCGCACAGGCGAATGTGCACAGTACTGTCACAGCAAATTGCTAAACGCACGTCTCGACGCAGATTTCAAACGGTACCAAAACTTAACTAGTAACTTCGCCAATGACAGGTAATTTGTATAAAATGCGATATCACATGCTGGAAACAAAGGGGGCTTTGTGCCAGCAATGGAAGGGAAATCGGGCACGAGATCAGTGTCACAGCTCTTCAAGGCAGCGGCAGCCTTGTAACCGTCCAAATTTCGTGCATGATTCTGGTATCTTTAATTAATTTAATATGACTCAAATTAATTACATATTTTGGGATTAATTAAATTAGTGCCATGTTAGGTGGGTCCCTGTCACCACGGCACGGCGCGTCCTCAGGTTGCGGAAGGAGTAGACGTCCTCCAGGTATGGAGGGAAGCTGCGAATATAATGAATAAGCAGTCGCGGACAGCCGTCAAGGGATGGTCCTCAAGCTTGGGGTTTGGGCGTAGGGCTAACAACTCTTCACCGTAGAAATTAACTTTGTTACGAAAATGCACACAAAGCCCCGGATCTGGAGGGATCCTCTGGATAAACGTCCCAGGCTAAAGAAAACGGACATGAGATTCGGTACTGGGAGCATCAGAAGTTTGTATAGAGCAGGTTCGCTCAGGGCAGTGGCAGAAGAAATCTTAAAACAAAACAGGGTGTTGAGAAAAATATTTGAACCGAAGAGGGATGAAATGACAGGAGGTTGGAGAAAACTGCATAATGAGGAGCTTCATAACTTGTACTCTTCTCCAAGTATAATTAGAATGATCAAGTCAAGGAGGATGAGGTGGGCAGGGAATATAGCACGACCGGGGATATAGGATATTGGTTGGGAAACCAGAAGGAAATAAACCACTGAGTAGACCAAGTTGTAGGTGGGTCTACAATATTAAAATGGACCTTAGAGGGATGGAATGATATGGATTGGAATGATCTGGCTCAGGATAGGGACCAATGGAGGGCTCTTGTGAACATGATAATTAATGAACCTTCGGGTTCCATAAAATGCTGGGAAATTCTGGAGTAGCTGCAGATTTTGCTTCTTGTCAAGAAGGGCTCAGCTCCATAAGTAAAAGTACCAGAAGTATATAGGCTTTCGGAAATGTTGAAAATATTTGGATTTACGTCTTCCCAACGTCGCAGAGAAAGTGAACTATTGTGCCCGTGCAACCATAGAAGCGCTTCAATAAAAATCCAGCACAAGAGTCTTGTCTTCGGAATGAGAGAACGGGGGCCGTGTGGTGGTACCTCCTGGCCATCTGCTAACACACCTGGAATAGAGTCGAGTGCCCGCCTTACCTGAGCTAACCCATCAAACCGACACGTGAGGTTACTTTATATGAAACGAGGTTTAACAACCTTCCTGGTAAAAATTACTCTCACCCAAAGACACCCCGACCCATGGGGTGAAATTATGACAAACTGTTTTGGAGATTATGCTTCCTAAATAAAAGTTGAATTAACAAATCAAACATGCTCGGGAGGTTACGATTCAGGGACAGGACCTCCAGATATGCAACAACCGCCTGCTTTCCGGAAAATCCGAAACCGTCAACTTCCCCAGTTGCAAAAATTTCATTCAAAAAGCCATGGGATATTTGCCATAATTACTCAGCAGTTTCTCAGGCGGTGCCGTGATGTCTATGGAGGGGGCAGACTAGAGTAAGACTGGGGGCTTGTTTCCATGGCTGCAGGTGCTGTGAGACGGACTGAAATCGGGATCTGAGGTGACTATGAACGTGTCTGTCATATACGTTATGATGACTTGGTAGAATGTCTGCAACATTTCGGAGGAGTCTCGTAACTCCAGCATCAAACTCCGAAAATCTGTCAACCTTCTACCAGATTACATGTCACAAAATCCCAGAAAGTAGAAATCTTCATGGATGTAAATGGTTGTGGAAATAAACCGTCGTGGCCTATTTTGAGGTAAAATTCCAATCTTTCCAGAGGTATTCAAGGAAAGTACAAAAGACATTGATCATGAAAGCCGGTTTCTCGGCCGTGAATCGAACTGAAGACTGACATATCTGAATTCTCAGCTTGCTCTTCTGTATCTGAAATGGTTTATGCAGGTGGTATCCCAGTATTTGCATGGAGACGCTGATGAAACCAGATGAGACAGCTGTCAGAAAACGCCTCGAGAATTTGGGGCTTTTTTATTTGTAGTTCATGTTGCAGAGCTTGACTCGATTCAGTGAGGTAATAAAAATTATGCGATTTATAAAACTTCTGCGCATCTTGGTACTTCTGTGAAATATATAAGTATTTTAACATGACGACTGAAAGCCAGAATGGTGGAGCCGGAGCAGACGTTGATTGCTAGACAATGACTCGGTACTCATGTTCCCGCGGCAACGAATATTAACAAAAGATAGTTCCCGTTACAAGGAATAGCAGCAAACGAGTCGTTGCCAGGTAGCGAGTCGCTAAACAAACAATGGAAGGCTTGAAAATGGTGACTTCAGATTTTGCGGCGTGGCAGTTATAAGAGGCAGTGCATTCGTGAATTCGAGTAGCAGAGATCAGTTCGTGATTAGTGAGAGATTCTTCATGCAGATTCGCAAGACAGATATCGCTCGGAAGGAGTTCAGTGTGTGAGCTGTTAGTCAAGTGCAATTGTAAAGAAGTGCCAATAAACCCAATTATCAAACCCAGAACCCATTATTATTAGTCACGACAAACCCTTACACGTGATAGCATTCAAGGACTGCACACTGGAGGACCAGCTATCCGCTGTCAGATAGAGTGCTCTACTGCCGGCATAACCTTTGTGGTTTTCACAGACCCACTCACAACAGTAACATATGGTAATCGCTGAAAAGGTTATAATTCGTTCTGATTGCACAAAATTCCTAGATAGAAAATTGACGCTTTGCCCATCTCTGCAGTGTCGACCTTTTCAGAGGCACTTATATTCGCCCCTCAACCATTTTACTGTGAAAATGTCAGGCTACGTCATGGATTGTTGCTTTCTATGGTGCTGAAGAGCATCAGTAGATGATCTGGCCTAATGCGATTCAGACCTGCGCGGGACAACACGACACAGAAACCGCAGACATTTCGAGCCGTCCAACACGACGCAGCCGCTGTGTCTAGTGCCATTATTCATTCATACTGAGTTTCAGAATGTGAGCTGCAGACACAGTGTCTCCAGTGGATCGATAGACAGTTCCTGTTTGTCCCTCAATGGAATGTTTTATTCTTGATGTATTTGATGACGCCTTATCAACTACTTGTGCTACGTAGCGTCTCTTCGTGCCTTGTTTAATGACGCTGTCAGTAACTCGGATGTAGGGCTATAGCGTCAAATTACGGAATCATAATGGAACAAGGAATTCCGGGAAAACTAATCGCCTACGTGCCTTTGTTACGACACGGACCGCATAGAAAATGACGTCTCCAACAATTCTTCCTGTGAATTCGGTGCTGCAGGAACGTGTTGCCTAGCAACAACAGAGGTGATAGACATACAGACACACAGACCACAAGGTGATCTCACAAACCTAATTTTATTTCTACAACAGAAGTACTCCAAACTGAACTGGCAAGGATGTGGAACGAAGGTAGGCTTATTATCTCTGGATCTGTCTGGACAGTCGGTGGACCGGCCAGGATTCCAACTTGACCCTTCCAGATACAAGTCAGAAGCACCGTCGCTTCTGCCAGCTTCCTCGGTTATGACGAATTGGCAGCCCAGGATATAAAGTGTTGCCTCCCAATTTGCTGCCAGGCTTATGAAGACGTGACCGCGGGA